GCATGCGCCTTGCAACAGTGTTGTGAGGCCACACAACAACAACCAAAACAGGATAGTTAAAAAAATCAACAACAACAAAAAATTTACGCCTGAATGGGGCCCTGCGCGTCCCCCTCCAATTCCTACGAGGCGAACGAATACAACGGTGGGAGGGGACAGCTTGTTTCAGTCTCCGCCCGACGTCCCTCGATTTGGCGGGGGGTTAGCAAGCAGAAGCACAACACGTAAACGGTTGCAAACGGGGCACGGCGATGGGAGCCAGTCTCGCGCCGCGAACGCACAAAGTGGCGGCGTGTGTGTGTAGAGGGAGGGCGCCCAACCGCCGGACGCCCCTCCGCGTGAATGGTGTTCGAAGTCGTGGGGGAGAAAGAAGAAGGAAAAGAAAAAAGATCCATTGCGCCTCCCTCCAATGCGGCTTTCGCTGCAAAGAAAGAAACAAAAGAAGCATGTAATCAGTCAACGCACAACGCAGTTAACCAAGGCGCGCTACCACCTACTTGGCCCCATCGTGTCGAACATTATTTGTAGAAGCCTCTAGCAAAGTTCCTTTAAGTTTAAATATAAACCTATAAAAAACAGGGCAATATACGCAGCAAATAACAAGGAAAAGCTTGCAATATTTCCAATATGCACTCACTAACTCTCCCTGCTGACATACCGCTTGACCACGGGACTTGTAATTGGCCAGAGGCGCTGGCGGTCTACTTCCTTCAGGTTGACAAAGCCACGTATAGTGCCCGCGCAGTGGACTGAGCCACATAGACACACAAATGAGGAATTCATGACCCATTCTGTGGTGCAGTAATTAAAGTTTAGCATCTCTCCTACTGTTATGGCTCGAAGTGCCACAAAATCAAGAGTTTCGCTTTCTTCACGCACCACCACTTGTAAATTCGGGTCACAGTGGTGAGCAATGCATTCGGCGGCATCTCCAAATAAAAGATGTTTGCTCTCGCCGACGCAGATGGTGTACATTGTGGGAAAAGGTACAACGACCCCCGTGCAGTGAAACAACAGTTCACCAGCAGCAATATTTCTGGCTGCATATGCGGTTTGCCCCATTTCCCCGTTTCGACGAACTTCGATGAGCGACGACGACGATCTGACAATCCAGCCATCCTGCATGGCCTGCGCACGCACTGGCGGCTCACACAAGTATAACTTGCTCTGCCTTGTAGCGTCTGGGAGGTGACGAAAGCCCCGGCACCCCTCCACAAATGCATGTGGGAAAAGGGCCACCATGTCGTACACAAACAAGTTCATATCAACGGTCAGAAATTCTCCTTCCTCCATGGTGCGCGTGGTGATGAAGCGACCTTCGACAAACACGGTTGTGGCATCTTCCTCGTGTCGGATGACGTAAGCGTCTCCCCCGAGGGAGACCTGCGTTGGCTGAATATCCACGTCTGTGCCTTCCAAAAGCACGGTACCGCGGTTTACGGCGCATGTCACCTGCAACCTCCCCGCGGCGTTGGCCCCCACGTTGGGTGGTAGCCGCACAACGGCGTGAGAACCCGCCAGCTGACGCAGAGCAGGCGTCAGCTGCCCTCGAAGCGCCGACCGCTGTGCGCTAGACAAGTACTTAAATCCGCGAATGTCATGTAAACAGTTAGGACTGTGACAGAGACAGCGGAATGGGGCGTGCAGGTCCCATTCCACGGCAACGTAGTTGAAGGTCACACGTTCCCCAACCTCAATGTCGTGCAGGGCCTCAAACTCGATTTTGTTATTTACCGCATCCACTCTAATGCGTGTATTTGGATCACAGCTATGGGAAACAAACTGCGCCCCCCCATTGAGTAGCAGATGCTTTCCCTCCGCCAGCTGTACTGTGCTGGCAGTCTGAAACGGCAAGCAGAGGCCTTGAACGGTCATAAACCGCGTGCCAGCGGGTATGCTCACGGTGGCGTGTGCCTCCAAGCCAGTGCCACCCTCGCACACTTTAATGAATCGGCAGTCACTTCCTATGCTGCAACCATCTTTCAGAGCTGCGGCACGCACACTAGGCTCAGTGAAAGTCATACAAGCTGATTTCTTCTCCTCCGGCAACCACATAAATCCGCGAATAAGATGTGGGCTGCTGAATTCACTGCAATTGCACCTAACCGCCTCTGGGAGCAAATAACTCAAACAATTCAAATCCACATTGACTTCATCTCCAGCAGAAACGGCAGAAATCAAAACGACTCGGTTTTCGATGACGGCTGCAGTAGGTGCGCAATGGTGACGGAGACGAACCCCATCAAGCGAGACGCCTCCCTTGACAATTTCCATGCATGCAACTTTCATCAGAACAATGCCCTCCTTCATATCCTCCGCCACGTGCAGCACACCGGTGCCGCTGACGAAAAGACGCGCAGATGCAAGCTGAACCCACGCATCTACCCCAGTTGTGGTGGTTACCAGAGATCTGATTGCTGGTGTGGCCATCCCCCATAGCCGTTGTCGTGCTTCATCCTCCAGGTACTTAAAGCCTCGTATTTCACGGTAACACTGCGGTGCCCCACAGAGGCAGGTGAACGGCGTTTGCATCTCCCACTCTGTGGTGAGGTAGTTGAAGGAGACAAGTTCACCCTTGCAGATGCTCCGAAGGGCAAGACATTCAATTTTTTCCCCGTACTGTCTATGATGACACGAACATTTGGATTACAGCTGTGTGCCAAGCACTGTGCCCCATCGGCAAAAAGAAGATGCTGGTTTTCATCCAAGAGGATCGTGTAGATTGTGGCAAAGGGAATCACAAGACCGGATACTTTAAAAAAGCGAGTCCCTTCCCGAATGTCGGCCTTTGCAAATGTCGCTTGTCCCATAGGCCCATTTGGTTTCACCTCCACCAATGAACATGTGCTTTGAACGCAGTATTTATTGTCCCCCGCCGTCGCTCGTACGCGTGGATCGACGTACACCATCTCCGTATTTTGTTGCTCCGCCGTAAGCCCAGCGAAGCCGCGCACCTCCCCGACGCAGTTCTCTGCCCCACAATGACACGCAAAGGCCGGGGTGTCGTAGGTTAGGTGGTTGATATTCAGTGTTACCGCCTCGCCTCTGAGTGACGCCTGGCACAGCACAACGCGTCCCTCCAGGAAGACAGCCGTGGGACGACACGAATGCCTCAGTCGCACATCGTCAAGCACAACCTCTTCGGCAGCAATACAAAATGTCGTGGCAGCAAAAAGAACCACACCAGAGGGCAAGTCACGCGCCAGACGCAGTTCCCCCGACGCTTCGTGGAGGGAGACCAAAGATGTGTCAAGGTTCGACAGCGCGCTGCGGCGATACTGGGCAAAAAGCGACTTCACCCCGCTGGTTGCATAGGGCCAGAGGCGGAGCTGGCTTTCCTCATCCAGATGACGAAATCCCTTGATCATGCCAAAGCAGGATGCACTTCCGCAGCCGCATTTAAACGGCGATGCCATATCCCACTCGGAGGTCAGATAATTGAAGGAGACAATCTCTTCAGGCTCGATGTCACGCATTGCCACACACATGGCCTTTCCATTTGCGGCGTCTATCACAAGACGGGTGTTGGGGTTGCAGCTATGCGCCAGGCACTGTGCGCCGTCAGCAAAAAGCAGGTGGTTGCCGTCCCCAAGATAAACCGTATATATCGTTGGAAATGGAATAACAAGACCCCGCATATGAAAAACACGACTTCCCTTTGGAATAAAAGTGGCAGCATAGGTCACCTCCCCCATAAAAGGATGTCTTCGTATTTTTACACACGGACTGGAACTTTGCACACGCAGTCCATGACGGACCGCTTCCACGAGAACGGAGTGCTCAGCAAACGACATCAGTGAATTCTTCTCCGCGTCACTCAGCGCCGAAAACCCCTTAACAAGGTGTGTACTGGTCACAGCTCCACAGTGACATTCAAAGGGAAGCGGTAGTGCATAAAACAAGGTAGAAAGGTTTAGTGTGAGCGGGTCGCCAGCGAGAAGTGGCCTAGATGCCGTCAAACGGCCTTCCAAGAGAACGGCATTTGCGTCACAGCTATGTGGAATGTGTAAACCGTCAAGAACGGCTTCTCGAGGCCGCACGCAAAGGCGGTCGACTTTCATTAACACTGTACCAGAGGCGATGTATCGTTGAGCGGCCACCCTTCCGTCAAAGGTAACGGCCAGTGCCGTTGTTTTTTCTATGGATGCCAAAGAAGCTGCACGTGGAAGTGGCGCATTGTACTTTTCTTTGATTGCAGCACTGACATTTGGCAATAGACGCGCCTTTTCGTCAGCATCTAGGTAACAAAACCCCCTTATAAATGCATAACAGGAATCCGTGTTACACGCACAGTGAAACGGTTCTGCAATATCCCACTCCGTACAAAGGTAATTGCATGTCAGCTCCTCACCCTCTTCTATAAATCGGAGGGCGATGCCACGAATGGAGTCCCCAGCGAGCTCAAGCTGCAGGTTTGGTTGGCAGGAGTGGCGGATAAACTCGGATCCCCCAGTGAGACGCAGGTGCTGGTCCCCCGGGAGCTCAATTGTGCTGCGCACTGGGAAAGGAAGTAAAACGCCAGTGGAAGCGAACACCGTGCTCCTGGGCTCGTGGGCCCCGCGAGACACTGGCACAAGCTGCGACTTTTGGGTTTGCACCACGGTGATTCCACCTTCACTCCGGTTTGGAATGAAACCGTCCATAACCGCTTGCTGCCGCACATGCTCATCCGCATACATGTAAAGCTGCTGCTTTTCCTCCTCCGTGAGTTTTTTGAACCCAGTGAGGGGCAAAGCCGTCGCATCCTCCACTTCGTAGATCAGAGCGTTGAGGTTGACCAACACTTCCTCGCCAGCTTGCAGGTCTTTCGTGGCGATGAGAAAGCGGCTGACGATGGTGGCGTTGAACCCTGCGTCGTGCTTCAGGCGGCGGCCATCCAGGAGGACAAGGGCTTCGGCGTCGAGCGCGTAGTCCGCCGAAACAGGGCAAATAATTTCGCCCCGCTTGAAGGCTTCCGTCGTCCTCATGCACTGCGATATTGGTGAACCAAAGCGTTCCCGCGTAGTCTGACGTCCACCGCCGCAGAGAGGCCGATCAAACGCACCTGGCCCAATAAAAAACAAACACACACACAAAAAAAACAACAACACGCACAGGCGATCACAGCCACCAGCCACGGCTTTAACAAATTGCTTGCGGTGACTGGTTGTCTCTGTTTCTGTTTCTGCTGATGCTTTTTTTTCCTTTGATTTTTGTTTTTGTTTTTGCCCTCTGTTTTACTTCGGTCTCTTTTGTGGTGTGACGCAAGGGCGGCAGGAAACAAGTGGGAGGAGGAGGAGGAGGAAGGGGAGGACCAACAGCCAAAATCCACAGGGAACTCAACCCGGCGGCTGCCCTTCGAGGCCCGCCCATCTACCGGACCGCAAGAGCGGCGGGCACGTGACGCGAGAGGAGGAACTAGTAGAAAACACAGAAGCGCCCAAGCAGCAGAAGGCACACGCAGACAAGTAACAGATAGTAGCAAAATCAAACACCACCGCCCATACAAAGCCAAGTGAACCCGAGGGGGGTGAAGAGCACAGAAAAGTTCAACTTTGTTTCAAACTGGCAGAGAAATTTATCTCTGAGTCCGAAACCTTTGTGTCCGTCAGAGGCAGATATCCATCTTGGTGGAGTGCACGACCGACGAGTGCAGCTCCGCTAGAGCGGCACAAAGAAGAAAGCTCCGTCAGCATGCTTGCGGCGGCCGCTGCTTCTCCTCGGTGCCGAAACACAACGTGGAGCTGAAGGGGTGAGACAGGGTGCACATGGGAAACTATGACGCTAAACGGAGGCTGCGACACCAGCGCCTGCACGTATATCAGCTGCAGGGCAAAGATAACATGGAGAGGGGCCCCACGATACATAGACAGCAGCGCGTCGCCCGCATCAAGAAAAAGAACCTCTTTGTCCAACAAAAGCATGTACATCGGTGTGCCCGCAGCCACTTTTGGCGATGACGCGCTGAACAGAAGGCGACCCTTCACAAATTCGCAGCGAAACCACACCTGCTCATGCTGTGGGAGACGCACAGTTGTTCCCACATGGTGGCGAACACCATAACCGCGGAGTGCACGCCGAAAACCATCTTCCTCACCAAACATGCGGTGGGCGTAATGGCGAACAGTTAACCACATCCAAAGCTCACTATGCTCCTCCTCCAAATGGTCCAAAGCGGCACGAAGCCGATGTGGAACCACCGCCGCAATGCTCGTTTGCATCGCGACGTACTCTTGGGCGTGGTGAGGCACAACCTCCCAGCTGGCCACTGGGCTGTCATCGGTTTCCTTCGCCCTTTCAGTTTTAATAAACTCAAGCCCGGGGAAAAGTGGCAGCAAGAGACTCGCCTCCTTACTTAAACTGGCGCGCTGCTTCTCCACCGACGGGTCAAATTCCCTAGCCGCATGCTCCAGTTTGAGAAAGAGCAGTTCGTAGGGCGACCGCAGCCACCGACCGCTGCCCTTGTCGTTGTCCTTCGTCTTGGCTGCGGTAACAGTGGATGTAGCACCAGTAGTCGCAGTTGTAGTGCAGGCAGCAGCAGCAGCAGCCGACACCGACGCAGGACTGGCAGTGGCATTTTTTCGCAACGCCAAGGGCTCAGCGCAGGCCACCGCCCGACGCACAACGACAGACAGGCAAAGGCGCAAGAGCTCGTTTAACAGAAAAGCACTTTCGCGCCCACCATGCGCAAAGTCCATGAGAACACGGAGGGCCACATCAAAAACGGACAGGCGAGTGCAAGCAGGGCGCGTGATAAAGTGGTAAAGAGCCGACGCGAGGCCCTCGCACCACCACCACATCCCCTTTTGCCGCACGTGTTGGCAAGTGCGCTGCAAAAATGCCTCGCACGAGACCGTTGGACATGCTTCAAGTGGTGGAGGAGGCGTTTCGCTGCATGGGTGCTCGATGCTCCAGTCCCCATGGAAAATGTCGGTCACCGCGGGCGCCCACGCCTCTTCCGACGCTTCCCGCAAGGCATCCTCGTTGCCGCCGGCGGTGGGACCACCGTCTCCCTCCTTCGTCCCCCTTTCAATGAGCCCAGAGAGGACCATGGCATTCAGCAGCAAGACAGCCCCCGAAAGGACCTCGGCGCACTGGCTCTTCAGCAAGCGCCCAAGCACTGTGCCCCGGGGATCAGCGGCATTTAAAAGCCCCTCTTTAAACACACGCTGAAGCTGCTCCGCTTTATTTAACAATACCCATCGCGTGAGCACAGAAAGCGAAACCGACGCGGAAACGCATGTGCGAAAAGACGAGGTTGCGACAAAACAGCAAACGCCACGAAACGGATTCTCGAGCATTCGCAACAACGGTTGAATGACGACTTCGTTAAGGACACGCCCCAAGCAGGGGGTAACAAAAGTATGCGGCACCGCAAAAAGGTCGTTAATGTAAAACAAGTCATCCACGATATCTTCTAAGCGATCACTAAGGGCAGAAATCGTTGTGGGGCGCAAAGGTTTATCACAGTGACACTCTACATTGCCGTACTCCGCGACTGCATCTGCAAGGTCTTGTATTTGCGACCACAAAAGTGCCGATATCACGTTAAATACCTCACGCAGCGCGTCTTCAAGAAAGAGCGTAATGGCTTGTTCATGGAGCTGGGCGACGCTAATGACAACCTGCCTTGCCGCAGCGCGGACCATGCGATCCGGCGCAGCAAGAAGCTTAGACGCCCTGTCAAAGAGCGGAAAGGCACGTGTTTCTCGCTCGAAGAAAAATTGCACCGTGTCGTCGTTCAAGCGGAGCGCCAAAGACTTTAGGAAGGAGACGTAAATTGAGAGGAGTTCGTCGTCGGTTTCGTCGATGGAGATTGATATAATTCTGTTCAGGTGGTTGTTGCTGCAAATAAAGTATATCGATGACTTTCGCGTGAGGTTTTGCAGCAACATGATGATACATTGTATGGCCTGCACCTTCACCGCGGAGGGAAATTCCGCGTTCGTCACGATGCGCTCGAAGGTGCTCATCATGCGTCGCTCCAGAAAGCTGTCAAAGACGGCCTCGGCGTTCTTGTCGCTCCAGATGAGGACCTCCGCCAGCTCTCGCAGGGCCTCCACGAAGACGAGGGGGTAGAACAGCTGGGAGTCCTCCATCCGCTGCACCTCCTGGCAGAGGTGGTCAACATTTTCCTGCGAAAACTTCTTGTGCCTGGAGCCCGAGAGCCTCTTCATCTACGGGCAGCGCCTCCGCTTGTGGCGACGAGAGAAACAATCGCAAGACACAACAATGGAAAGCAACGGAAACACACACACACACACACACACACACACAACAACAACAACAACAACAACAACAACAACAACAACAACGCACACACACACACATTGCAAGAAGGAAAATAGAGAGGATCCTCGACGGGACTTGAGCAGCGCCTCCACCGCATAGGTGATGTGACGCCTCAGCTCATCGTATGAGAGAAAATATTTCCCGTCCTTCCCGGCATTATGAAAGATGGCATGGTACGTCACATTAATGCTGCTCGCTGTCGTGTGATAACACATGTTGGCGTATATGTAAGAAATAAATTCTATCAAATGTGTGCCGTGACGCATCCACATTGCGTTGGCGAGGTTGGAGCCGTGCGGGCCAACAACTACGTCCGCCTCGTAAAAGCAGCGTATTTGCTCTGCCACATGCAACTTGTCGGAAAATGCACTAACTTCAAAGGAGGCGCCGTAGTCTTCCAGGAGCTGCTGCTTCAGCTGGTAGTAATTTGACGGCATCCGTGATAGCCTGGCGCGTTCGGCAAACAAAAGTCGAAGCTTACGCTTTTTGGCAGGAAGAGGAGGCAGCAAATGCAGTCGCGCAAAGACAATGTCACGTAGCGCGTAAGTCAAGTGTGTAAACGACGTCCCACAGCCATTTGGAATGGGGTAGAGAACCAAATGCCCATGCACGGGAAGCGTCCCATGCAAGACACGGTGCGAGGGAATGCCAAGAACATCGATTAACCACTGCCGGTGAAATTTTTTCGTGGAGGTATACAACACCAGCACCGCGTCATCGCGTTCAAGTAATATTTTATGCACAAGCGCCAAACGCGTCAAATGCTCATGTGTAAAGTGGTAGTATCCCTTGCACCACTCATCGCAGAGCGCCACGACAACGCCACGCCAGTCCAGTTGCCCTGTGCTTTTAATTTCTGGTAGATACCAACGACTCAGACAGCCTCCACTCGTGTACACGCTTCCACGGCACGTGATAACGTAGCTGTTGGAGACCACAGCGTTAGGAAAAACGACCGCGTACAACGGGGGCTGTGGCCGCAAAAATTGACTATCACTGTACTCCCCATCCAGCGGTAAAGTCCACTCCCCATCACTCCTGCTAGAGCGTGCCTGGCCAAGAATTTTAGTAGGCAAGGAGGATCGAAAAAATGCTCTCCATCGACCAAACCTTTTCCCGACATCAAACAAAGGCGACAGGACCAGAGGTGTCTGCTTCACAATCCATGGAAGTGGGTCCGAGAAGAGAAACACCCTACCCTCGGCTTCCTGCTGAAGTGCATTGAAAAATGCCACTGGGGTTAGACTACGCTTTACCCGCACACGCTTACTCTTGTACTCAAATCGCGTGATTTGTCTGTTTAGTGGGTAGGCAAAGTGACAACTCTTATTCAGACTTTTGATATTCGGTAACTCTTCGCGTAAATTGGCCAGGCTCTCCGCAAAACGTTCTATGCTTGCCCTTGTCTTTATCTGCGCATGCTCCATTTCCAGTGACACTTTCCACGCTGGTCGTACCGGCCCAGCCACAGTTGTCTGCCGCTGCTCCGCGGCCGAGGTGCCTCCTGGATCCGCCGCCGCCTCAGGAAATTCCGTCGCATAGCCGAGGGCCAGTGTGACAAAGACAAACATGGTCGCCACAACGATACATGAGGCGAGAAGCCGAAGCCTCCGCCGAGCGAATCTTGGCTTCCGAGTTTGGCTTGACATGAAAGGCTCCCGCGCTTGCTACCGCCACGCCAGCATGTGTCTCAGAGAGAGACCTGCCGTTGACGCCCGCCCCCACTCACCCCGCTCGCCCAGCATTCAAAAAAAGGAACAGCCATGCAGCCAGAAAAATGGAGGCGAACAAAAGGAAATAAACAAAACTAAAACAGGAAGAGCAACATATTTTCCTCGCTCCCCACGAAGCAATGGGAGGGAAAAAGGTCGGAGAGCGAAAACCGCGAGAGGCTTATTCAGAGGTTCACCCCCCCCCCGCCCACCGACAGCCACCTAAGGGCAGTGATCACATTGCGTGGTGCATAAAAAAAGAACAAAGAAGCACATAAAACGTGAGACACCACAGAAAAGTTAGAACGGCGGGTGAGCGGGATATCCTGGCATGCGTGCTTGCATGGATGTGATAGTCACGCTGCTGCAGCGGGCCAAAAACGACGCCGCCGTGCTGTTGCTGTTGCTTTCACACTTTCTTTTTGCCACCGCGCTTCTCTTTGCCGTCGCATGGACTCGTCAGTCCCTCAAGAATGCATCCCCCGATGCTAATTTCCGCAGCCTTTGCCTTGCAAACAGCCGCAGCAGCAGGGCCGCCTTTGCTTTCTGTTGGTGACGCGATCGCCTTGCAACCAACACGTGGTGCATCCCGGCCATCACCATTTCCGTCACCCCCGTGTTAAAGAAATCAACAAACCCAATGAAAAACATCGCTTCCGGAGCCTCAATGAATCCTGCAATTGAAAAGGTGCCCTCATTTTGGTCGAATGGGATGGAGACGATGGACTGACCCATGGTGCTCACCACCAGCTCCGCACAGCTCCGTGGCCCGGGCAGAGACGCAAGGCTGAGGAGGCCACGACTTAAAATGTGACCCGCAATCACGCCACTCTCACGCTCTGGTGGACTGCCCGCATCACGTTCTTGCACAAATGCGGGGTCCGCCATGTTCTCGTGTAGTTCGCCTTGGACCTCCTCCTTCGGCTTTCGGCGGTTGAAGACGAGGCGGAGGGAGGAGATGTCAAAAAACCTCTTTGAGCTTACGGTGACTCGGCGTCCACCAGCAGTCGCCTCGGTGGCAAAGCTGCCGCTGCTTGGGCAAGGGGCCCGCTGCTCGGCGAGCGTGATGAACTGCTGAACATCCGGAACAACTTGTACGGACTTCTTCCCCCCGGTGAAGTCCCGGAGAACAATAACGCGGCCCAAGCTGTCAAGAAGAACAAGGCATGTCGGCGCATCGACTTCCGCGTCTGCATCTGAAGTGTTCTTCAGCTCCAAGGACGTCCTTGTCTCCTGCCGCTGCAACAACTCCGTGACCGCCCCAATACGATACCGCTCCTCCGCTTTGTTACACAGCGTGTTCACAAAGGCCAGATCCGCAATGGGGCCGCCAAAGCGATGGGAAACATGGTTGCCGTCCGCATGGAGAAGATGTACGCGGCCATTTGTTGTTCCAGCCGCCGCAACAACCGAGGACCCCTCCTGCTGAACCGCAAGAGCACAGACAACACCATCGGAGGGAAGCTGCACCATCCACGGCGCAACCCATGCGGGGGCCTTGGTGGTCCACACGACGTCCCACCCGCAGACGTTGTTCTCTGCCACCGCGTTACAGAGAAGGAAAGAGAGCATCCCTGGTAAAACCCCACGTGGGTCTCCTGGGGTAAGAATGTGGCGGTGGCGCTCCTCACTAGGCGTAAGACAAGCATCTTTCCGCACGCTTTCATCGTAGCCACTGCAAAGCACGACATGTTTGCCCTTGCAGGAGCCGTTAACAAATAGTGGATGATAAAAAAGACGCAACACACGCTGCTGGTTTCGTTCATGAAGAAATGACGTCTCAAAGGACTTAACAGGAGCATTCTTTGGGGCGGTAAGGGCCCGCAATAGTGGGAAAAAAAGAGCCGTGAGATGCTGCTGCTGTCCATCATCGTCCTCCCACGCAACCACAGCACATGCCTCATCGGCTTGTGCGCAATCCTTCTGCCCATGGGAAATGGTACGCGCCTCTTGCGCCGCCGGACACAAAAGAAACGCCACGAGTGAGTTCACTCGAGCCATTTTCGCCTCCATATAAGGCCGCCACAGTCGCACTGACGTAAGGGAGCCATCACGCATGCTCAGGTCCGGCCCCAATAGATACACCTCCTCCTTTGCAGCGATGACGCAACAAGAAAAGCCGGCAATGTTTCCCATCCCATACTGCAGAACCGCCACACACCCGACAGACGGGGTGCCTGGTATCTCTGTTACCTCACCGCATGTTGGCGGCAGCGACGTCGCATCCATCCAGCGCAGCAACCTCTACGCAGGCCTACTTTTTGGCCCTCGCCATGTGACAGAGCAGCGAAGCGGATAGAGCAGGAGTGAGAGTCAGGGCAAAACAGCCCTCCATGTATCTTGTCATGAACGCAAATGAACTCCAGATACGATTTACACAGAGAGACATGCAAACGCAATTCCACGCTGCAAGTCAAGAACCACCCCCCAGTCTCCCCTTCAAGAGAAAGTGAATAAGAATAGCAATAGCAATAAAAAAAAAGAGCACTAACCACTAAGTTCCGCAGGAACACAACCAAAGAAAAAAAACAAAAAAATTTATACTTCAACATTTAGTACTTGCGTATTTGCGCAAATGCTTCGGTTAAAATTATATGGACATACATAAGCTGTAATGTAAGAAACAAAAAAAACCAACAACACATTTTCCCCCATGCGGTGTAGTTTTTAGGAGTTGTGTTCCGTTGCGTCCAAGCTAGCCCGCAACTTACGCCCCTGCGCGTTCATCACCCCCCCCCCTCCCCCTCTTCTCCCCTCAGTTCTAGTTTGTATCCGCAAAAGAGGACCACCAACCGCACAAGGCACCACCCCGCCAGAGGCATTGCCGGTGAAAGCTTCGGCCTCGACTGCACGCGGTGCAAAGCAACGTGCCCCATCCCCGCGAGGACGAAGGCGCATGGGGTTCCAACGGCAGGCCCCCATTAAAGCAAAGGATCCAGTGCATGGATCAACGGCGACCTGAGACACATCCGCCGACGGTGGCAGTTTAATCCGCCAAACAAAACTTAGCGCGGTGGCAAACATGGCCGGCACGCAGACGAGATGCACCGCCCTGTTTCGCCACTAACTTCGGTGGGCCCCATAGACCACATCACCCTTCTCCAGAATGCAGTCGCGTTTGAGCAAGGTCAACATTGTAAGCCCATTCTTCACTCAAGGGGAAAGTACAAAAAAAAATAGTGGGGGAGAGAAATAGGGCGAGGAAAAGGAAAGGAGAACATAGGGCGTAAAGGGGGAGGGAATAGCTCCACATATGTAGAGTACTGTCCGGAAGCATTTTAACTACTCACCATTGGGTAGCCAAACATATACACAATGGGTCGTCTTAGAGGTCGCTATTGGGGTGGGGGAACCAACAACAAAAGCAAAAGATGAAGCGTGTGTGCGTGTGTGTGAGAGGGATAGATAGAGTGAGAGAGAATCCGGCACAAAAACTAAATTAGTAGCAGCTGCAGTTTCAACTCGCCGCCATTTCTGGTGGTGGCGGGCAAGCCCGCGCACAAAGGAGAAAACTTGCATGTGAACTGGCGCCGTCAAACTCGCGGTAATCCAGTAACAAGGACCATAATTCCCTCTTGCACCCCCCACTTGCTCTTGTTTTTTTTTTCTTTTATTCCTTGTTGTTTCATTTGAACCTCCACTCTCACTCCTACAACTCCCTCTCGATATCTCCATCGCGCTCATGGTGTGTGTGCGTGTGTGTTTCCTCACGGAGGGCGTTGCCCGCGCACAATCCGCCTACCAGATATGTGTGTTTCCGCTGCGCAGCTTCACTAAATCATACCCCGCCTCTTCTAATAGGCTTTTGATGTGGCTCTCCGCGACGCGTTCTTTGCGACTTTGAATCGCGTCACCAAGGCGATCGAAGGCCTCTTGTATATTCGTAAGAGAAGCATTCCACCAAACCTTCATCCGGAACACGACCTCCTTATGAAGCATAATGGTGTCCCGGTTTATCTGCGCCTGCTGACGCTCCAGCTCGCGCTGATGCTGCTGTATCTTTTCCTTCAGCTCATTGAACGAACTTGGGGCCGTAAAGTCGGGAATAAGACTCTCCGGGTCGGCCATTGCCAGGCGGTTGGATTCCACCACGCGCTGCACGTACCGCTCCTCTTCCTCATGACTGTTGCTCATGGATTTGCTGAGGAGATAGTAGACAACCCAGACGGTGGTGGCGCCAATGCCCATCGAGGCCAGAAAAACTTGAAGACGCCGTGCGCTAACAAACGGTGTCGGTTCCACGTACGGCTGCAGAAGCTCAGGCGCCTCCGACGACGTGGGGACGTACCTCGAGAGCTGCTCCGGCCCCGTCGCATCCCCCGCTTCGTTCGCGACCACGCTCGACGGTGGCTTGGCCCTCGCCGCCAGCGCCACAAGGTAGCCACTTGAGCGCCTCAGCATCTCTAAACCTCTCCTTCCCGGCACCCCAAAGGCAGCCACACAGGCACAGGCACAGACAGAGACAGAGACAGTGGGAGGAAGATACCGAGAGAAAATACAAAAGGAAATAGAAAGGTTAACAAAGAACAACAACAACCACAAAAAGAAGCATTTCACCCTAACCCCCCCCGACACACNCACACACACACACACACACACACACACACACACACAC